TCTGTCCATGGTCCTGAATTACGAGTTGTTTATAATTCGCAGGACTTTATTTGGAAAACCAGGAACTTTGCCAGCAACTGAAAATGGGTTAGCGAAATCACAACACTCTTGGTTACTTGACTTTTAAAAGATATCTTTATTCTTCCGTATTATTATGCTACCCGGTTATGTTATGTGTTATTTTTATTTGTTCTACGACGCGTATTGTGGTTTGACTTGCGTGTTTGTTATTTGCCTGACTGCTACGGCTGGTGGACTCTCCTCCTCGATGGCTGGTGGACTCCTTTTTATAGATCGGCCGGCCTTCCATTTTCCCATGAATGTCTTACAGATATCTTATTTCTACTCCAGAATGTGGGAAGGGTTCTTACATAAATATATATTGCCGAATTATAGTCTGCGCGTGCAGACTGGCTGATCGGTAACAGAAGGTTACCTAATCATTAGCCCTGTAGTCAGTGTCCAGTATTCCCGGTAAGGAAAGTCGGAGACTGCTCATGGGCTCGCGCATGTGAGTGTCCAATGTCCCAGGTAAGGTGATCGATGTGCACCGGTACCGTGGGAAAGGAATTTTGCTGGCACTTCGCGTTTCTTGAGGGGGATGGTTAGGTAGGCCCCCCCCCCCCCGCCCCCCCCCCCCCCCCCCCCCCCCCCCCCCCCCCCCCCCCCCCCCCCCCCCCCCCCCCCCCGTGGGCCCCCCCCCCCCCCCCCCCCCGCCGCCCCCCCCCCCCCCCCCCCCCCCCCCCCCCCCCCCCCCCCCCGCCCCCCCCCCCCCCCCCCCCCCCCCGGCGGCCCCGGCGGTAACTGAGGTTTATTTAGTGTTACAGATATATTTATATATATATAGAGATATTGTCAACTTAAAAACAGGTGTTGCCTGCGTTGTGACGAACCATGGGGAACCATGGTTCGTTACAAGCACTTATAGTCTCTGAGATCTAGGCGCTCATCAAGACGGACAGACGGACGGACGGACAGACGGACGAACAGACGGACATGGCTTTATCGACTCTGCTATTGATGCTGATCAAGAATGTATATACTTTATGGGGTCGGAAACGTTTCCTTCTCTGCGTTGCACACATCCACTTGTACCACAAATCTAATATACCCCTTAACTCTTTTTTGAGTAGGGGTTAAAAAGGGCACAAGCTTAATTGCACTGGTAATAGTGTCAAACCCAAATCAATTCATCAATAAGTCATCTTTCGCATTTAAGAGTCGTTTTGTTGTATAAAAAGACGTTTACTTTTCATTTCTCTAAAGAATTTGGTGCCGTTTTGAAAACCACACGGTCACACGGTTATAATGAAGATTTGTTTGGTGCTAAACCATATTTTATTAGTTATGACAGTCTTCAAGGAAATTATCAATATGTGTGTGTGTATCTATCCATGCGAAATGATCGTAAGCGAAATTTATTTCAAATTTGACTTTTTGATGATACATTTTTTTGAAATCGGTAATAAAAAACCAAATAGTATTTTTAATTCGGTCGCTTACGATTATTTAGCAACAATGTGTGTACATTAGGCTGGGCCAAAATTTAAACAAAAAATTTTGTTTTTTGTTTTTTCAAGGTGACACTCCCCAATTCTTTTCTCTTTTCTTTCTTTTCTTTATTCAATAAAATTATACAATTTTTAGTTTATTGTTGGGGGTTGCTTCCACAAAAGAAAATACACTTTTTTGGTTAAATATATATTAAAAAACAGTTTAATTCGTCGGTTATTTAAAAAAATATTGAAATTTAGAAACTAGTTCATATTGATAACACTACTCAACAAAATCGAACTTTTTTTTTCCTCAAGGATCCAAACCGACTTTTTCTGATAGATATGGGGCTTTAAAATTTTTTAAAGAATTATGGTTTTTTTTCAATGGCAGAACTTTTTTTTGAAGAATTTTTGAAGTCTGGTATTTTTTTTTTAAGCTTTTTTCAGAGGTAGCGATAGTTTTTTTCACATAACTTTAATATCTTACGTCTGGTTGTAAAGAACTTTGCTATTTTGAAAAGATAATTAAAACAGCTAAAAGCTAAGCCCAAACACTTTGTGATTACAGCTTACCGTCTGGGAAATATAAAGCATTGAAATGCAAAAATGATGATTTTTGTGCGGTATTTTTTACGAACTTTTGACTTTAAAAACTCAGGAAAAGTCGAAAAAAAATTATATCTTGTGTCCTCTATTTTTTTGTGTATAGGTGCGTTAATTTGGCGTCGTTTAAGGTATCGCTCATTAAAATCTATGGAGAGACTTTGGAGCTAACCAAACCTAAAATACAACCAGACGTAAGATATTAAAGTTATGTGAAAAAAACTATCGCTACCTCTGAAAAAGCTTAAAAAAAAATACCAGTTTTCAAAAATTCTTCAAAAAAAAGTTCTGCCATAGAAAAAAAAAAAAATGTCATCAAACCATTTCTAAGCCCCAAATCTTTAAGAAAAAGTTCGTTTTGTTCCTTGAGGAAAAATCGTGTTGACTAGTGTAATAGGCTATTTTTATTTTTTTTTATTTAGTTACTCTTAAATAAATTAACGATTGGTGAAAATCAAGAAGTTCAGCTGAGGTTGATATATTTAGTTAACTAGTTCGCAAAAACTTGTGCAGGTTTTTTACTACAATATACATATATGCAATAGATTTCACCAATTACATTACTCGACACGAGTTTTCCTCAAGGAACAAAACCAACTTTTTCTTAAAGACTTAGGGCTTAGAAATGGTTTGATACAAATTTTTTTTTTCTATGGCAGAACTTTTTTTTTTACATTTTTGAAATCTGGTATTTTTTTTAAATCTTTTTTCAGAGCGCTTTTTTTCACGTAACTCTAGTATCTTACCTCTGGTTGTAAAGAACTTTGCTATTAAAGATATTTAAAACAGCTAGAAGTTAAGCCTAAACACTTTGTGATTTCAGCTTACCGTCTGTAAAATATAAAGCATTGAAATGCAAAAATTATGGTTTTTTTGCGGTATTTTTAACGAAATTTTGACTTTAAAAATTCGGGAAAAGTCGGGAAAAAATGATATCCTGTGACATCTATTTATACCCGTACTCAAAAAAGAGTTAAGGGGTATATTAGATTTGTGGTAAAATTGGATGTGTGCAACGCAGAGAAGGAAACGTTTCCGACCCCATAAAGTATATATATTCTTGATCAGCATCAACAGCCGAGTCTATATAGCCATGTCCGTCTGTCCGTCCGTCTGTCCGTCTGTCTGTCCGTCCGTCTTGATGAGCGCCTGGATCTCAGAGACTATAAGAGCAAGAGAAACCAAATTTGGTTTCCAGACTCATGTGATATCACACTGCCACAAGTGTATTTCAAAATTTCGCCCCGCCCCCTTCCGCCCACACAAAGGACGAAAATCTGTGGCAGGCACAGTTTTAAAGATACGATAAACGCAGTATCGTAGAGAATGCCCATATCTACCAGATTGCCGAATCTGAATCAGATCGGATTATAATTATAGCCAGAATGAAGAAATTAATTTTCAGTTGCTTCCCCTCCCCCTCCCGTTCCAGACAACGCAACTCATTTTCCTTCTCGCTCGCACACTCTGCCGCGTTCAGTGCGCGAGCAACCCCTAGCGGAGGAGATGTAGAATATGAATGGAACATGTACAATCTAAATGTTAGATGTAGAATATACATTGTATATGTAGATGTAGATAGCATATGTAGCAAAAAAATGTAATATGTAAATTTTTTTTTTTTCTAAAATTCTTAAAAATCATAAGCTCAAAAATGTATATACTGACTGAGTACGGGTATAAGTAGAGTCGTGTCCCCAGAAGCGACTCACACGTTCCTTCTCGTTTTTTCTGTACAGGTGCATTAATTAGGCCTCGTTTTAGGCATTGTTCATTAAAATCTATGGAAAAACTTTGGAGCTAAAATTCGTTAACCAAACCTAAAAAATGAAAAAAATTAACAAAAAATACCTTTTTGAAGGTTGCGGGCCCAACTGCCAATTGGGAATTGGGAAAAATAGAGAACACAGAATATAATTTTTTTTCGACTTTTCCTGAGTTTTTAAAGTAAAAATTTCGTTAAAAATACCACAGAAAACTCATAATTTTGGCATTTCAAGGCTTTATATTTCCGAGACGGTACGCTAAAATCACAAAGTATTTGGGCTTACCCTGTTTAAATTATCTTTTCAAAATAGCAAAGTTCTTTACAACCAGAAGTAAGATACTAGTGCTATGGGGAAAAAAACTCTACCTCTGAAAAAAGCTATATAAAAAAATTCCAGAATAAAATAAAAACTTTAATATTACTATCAAACCCAATATAAAACGAGAAGGAACGTGTGAGTCGTTTCTGGGGACACGACTCTACTTATACGCTGGGGGTTGCTCGCGCACTGAACGCGGCAGAGTGTGCGAGCGAGAAGGAAAATGAGTTGCGTTGTCTGGAACGGGAGGGGGAGGGGAAGCAACTGAAAATTAATTTCTTCATTCTGGCTATAATTATGATCCGATCTGATTCAAATTTGGCAGTCTGGTAGATATGGACATTCTCTACGATACTGCGTTTTTAGTTTTTTCGTATCTTTAAAATTGTGCCTGCCACAGATTTTCGTCCTTTGTGGGGGCGGAAGGGGGCGGGGCGAAATTTTGAAATGCACTTGTAGCAGTGGGATATCACATGAGTCTGGAAACCAAATTTGGTTGCCCTAGCTCTTATAGTCTCTGAGATCTAGGCGCTCAACAAGACAGACAGACGGACAGACGGACAGACAGACATGGCTATATCGACTCGGCTATTGATGCTGATCAAGAATATATATACTTTATGGGGTCGGAAACGTTTCCTTCTCTGCGTTACACACATCCACTTTTACCACAAATCTAATATACCCCTTAACTCTTTTTTGAGTACGGGTATAAAAAATGAGGAGGGGTCCCGTTTAAATTAAAAAAAAAAAAATTAATTTGACTCAACCTAATGTATATACATATTAAAAATACATTTATTTTTTATTTTAGCAATTACCGAAATATGGTTGGACAATGAATCTGGTGATGATATATTTACTGAAAAATTTTTAAATAATCTGGGCAGCTTGATAGAAGATTTGGGAAATGAGTGTTTTATCTCAATACGCAATGTTTTTTGTGAAAACCTTGACAATTGGTCTCAATTAGATGATACTGATAACACTGGGACTGAACACGGCGAGTATACATTGGATTCACAGATGACGATGCCCAATTTAGATGATATAGATATACCATTTTAGACAAGATAAAATAAAGCACTCTCAGGTTTAATGGCGCGTCCACCCCTTATAAAATTAATAGATTAAATTTTTAATTAACATTGCTTTGTTTTTTGCTGTGCGCAGTACATAAGTTAAAACCCTAAAAAATTATATTTGCATCATATTATAAAAACCGATATAAAAATATTGAGTACGAAGTTTAATTTGTATTGCGATGTTACGCATTACAAACAAAGTTAAGTTAAGGCGGTAGTTAAAAAGAAATCTTCCCCCCAGCTCACTTGGTCCTACTATAGTCCTACTCTTATTCGTCCCAGCATCTTCTGAAGAAATCATTATTATGGATTTCAGTGTCCCGCGCTGGCTCGAATAACGGCAGAGCAATGTTCTATGCTGAGTCTGTATAGACAGATGCCAAGCTTTTTTGGCACCTATATTTATCCAAAATCAGTTAAAGACCTTTGATTTATAACGTTATAATGTTTATTTATACCGGAGGCTAGCTGAAGCCAATTGCTCGCTCTTTTGCCCAGCCAGATAAATGTGCACAAGCGGGGGTTCAGTATGCAACCTATGCTGCGAGAGATTAGCATAGAACTACTTGGGCCACGACGGCCGATCAATGCAAGAGCCGACGCGGCAGGTGCAGAGCGCCCTTTAACAGGGAGAGCGCAGCAGCACTGCCGAACGCTGGGGACATACATAAGCTTAGGTTTCGACACTCTTATACAACTAGTTACAGCTACATTTAATATTATGATAGACGCTTAAGTAGCCGCTGGCCCGAACATACTCCCCCCGTTGGAAGCTCGCCTTTCAACTGACTTCTCAAGGGGCAGCAAACACAGCCGAGTAACGGCCCACCTGATGGTTCCTGAAGCCGTCTTCAAATCAGCCACGCGGCCTACTCCATCCTTGCCTTTGACGACGTCGACCACTCTAGCCAGTGGCCAACGCATTGGAGGAAGATTCTCATCCTTCACCAAGACGACATCATTGACGCAGAGGTTTTTCGTAGGCGTACGCCACTTCGAGCGCTCTTGCAAAAGAGTCAAAAACTCTTCGCGCCAACGCCTCCAGAATGTCTGCTGCAGTTGAGTGACCCGCTGCCAACCATCCAGACGGTTGTAGTTGAGCTTCGTTAGGTCAGGCTCGAGAATTGACTGATGCGGGCCTCCCAAAAGCAGATGAGCAGGCGTCAACACATCCAAGTCATCAGGATTTTCTGAAAGCGAGAGCAAAGGGCGAGAATTAACAATTGCCGCGATCTGGCAGATCAAGGTGCGGAGCTCGTCGAAGCTAAGGATGGATGGCCCAACTGAGCGGTACAGGTGATACTTTGCGGACTTCACGGCCGCTTCCCACAATCCGCCAAAGTGCGGAGAGCGCGGGGGGATGAAATGCCAGTCGATGGTGTCAGCCAAGCAGGATTCATGGAAAAGCTTCTCAGGAAAAGCTTCTTCAGCTCCAGAAGCTCATTCTTAGCGCCAACGAAATTTGTCGCATTGTCCGACCAAATATGACTTGGCCTTCCTCGAGTGGACGTAAAACGTTTCAATGCGCCCAGGAACGATGCGGTGGTCAGATCTTTAACAAGCTCCATGTGTATGGCCTTAGATGTGAAGCAAATAAACACGCTTATGTAGCACTTGATCGGAGGCCTCATGCGGATTTCTGATCGGTAGAAAAAGGGTCCACAATAGTCCACTCCAGTTACTTCGAAGGCCCGCGATCCTTCCAGACGCTCCTTAGGCAAGTCTCCCATTATGTGCTCAACCATGCGCGGCCTCGTCCTGAAGCATCTTACACACTTGCTAACCGCTTTCGAGACGGCTTTGATTCCTCCAATAGGCCAATATTCTAATCGAATTTTAGCAAGCAAGGCGCGAGGTTATCATTGCTTATCATTGCAGATGTTACGAGATGTCCCTTGGGCAAAATAAGCGGGTGCTGAGCATTAAACGGGAGCGATGAGTTGCTGAGACGACCTCCAACTCGAAGTAAACCTAACGGATCGATGAACGGAGATAGCGAATTGATAGAGCTAGACTTCCTGACTTGCCCGATGCGTCTAATCTCCTTTATGTCCGACCACAAACTTGCCAGCTGAACGTGTCGAACAAGAGGATGCGTTCCTTGCTGTATGTCAGAAACCGTGAGTCCAGGATGCCTAAGACGATGAACGAATTTATGCATGTAGGCGAATGTGCGCTGCATGCCAAGGAAAGAATTAGCAAATTTGCATCCGGACGTGAGATCGGCATGTGGAGTCGGAGTTTCAGAAACGGCAGATACAGGCCACTCATCCTTAGTACCTAACAAAAACGAGGGGCCGTGAAACCACAGATCTGACTGGATGAGGTAGCTGGGAAGCGAGCCTCTGGAGAGGATATCAGCGGGATTCAACAATGTGGGAACATAGCGCCATTCCATGCCTTGCGTCAACTCTTGAATTGTTGCCACTCGATTTGCCACGAAAACCTGAAATTTGGCTGGCTCATCCCGAATCCAAGATAACGCCGTAGACGAATCCGACAGCAGTAAAACTGACCTGGGAAAATTCCCGTCTTCTTTAAGTTGCGCATAACCTTCGCAAGCAAATGGGCTCCACTCAATTCCAGCTTTGAAATCGACAATGATTTTAGTGGCGCCACTCGAGACTTTGAGCACAAAACATTGCTCGACGACTCTTCTTGTCTGGACACGCCATATATGCAAGCACCATATGCTTCCATGCTGGCATCACAAAATCCATGAACCTCTACAATTGCGCTGGAATGATGGACAACTTGAGGAAAGGAAATGCGAGAGATGCTTGCCAAACTGTTTCTCAGGTCAATCCAAGTTGAGTGCAGCGCTGTCGGTAGGCTTTTATCCCAGTCCAAATGTTCTCTCCAAAGCTGCTGAAGAAAGATCTTGCAGCTGACAATAACAGGATTAATCAATCCAAGAGGGTCGTAGAAATTCGCAATAGTTGACAAAACCGACCGCTTGGAGGGCCTTGAATTCGTGTCCAGCGCGGACATGGCAAACAGCAGCTGCTCCGACGCAGGGTCCCAAGCTAAACCAAAAGTTTTGGTAATGTCGCTTCCATCATGAAACCGCAGAAATTTCTCCACGTCGTCCTCTGGAAGTCCATCGAGCACCTCCTGGTTCCATTTTCTAAGCTTAAAGTTACCGCAAGACAGTAGACTTGAAGTTTGGCGCATCTTTTCCATGACCTCTGCGACCGAGTTGCCGCCAGAGATGAGATCATCAACATAGAACTCCTGTTGCAGAGCAGCTGAGCCAAGAGGGTAGGGATTACCCTCGTCGATGGCCAGCTGGTGCATTGCGCGGACCGCTAAAAACGATGCAGCCCCCGTACCGTATGGGACGGTGTCTAATGTGTAGACCTGAACCTCGGACTGGATGGAATCTCGCCATAGGATACACTGGAGAAAATTGTTGGGTGGAGATACCTTTACGCAGCGGTACATTTTACAAATGTCACCAGTGAGGGGGGATATGTGCCTAACCGGATCAGTATGTTAAACAATGCTGGCTGAATAACAGGACCTGTTATCATCACATCATTTAAGGAGCATCCAGTTGATGTAGCTGCAGAGCCATCGAAAACGACACGGAGTTTTGTCGTGGTACTATCCTCCTTTAAAACGCAGTGATAAGGCAGAAAATACTTGCAGAGGGCTACGTGAGTCAGGATGGGCTTTGGACATATGCTTTAAATCAGTATACTCTTTCATAAAAGCTGAGTAACGCTCCTTGAGCGCGGGATTACGATCCAGCTTTCGCTCCAAGCTGAGAAATCGTCAATACGCCTGAGTATAGGACTCTCCCAAGTGATCAGCATCATGCTTTAAAGGCAGTCGAACGGAGTACTCCCCTGATGGCAACCGTGAAAAGTGGCTTACGAAATGCGCCTCACAATCTACTTCTTCCTTTGTACTTAAGCTAGCCTCCACACAATTCTCATCTTCCCAAAACAAACGAAGAGTTCGATCCAACCTTGCATTCATTCTATCATCCGAATCCGGAGAATTTTGGGTTGCCAAAAGCGACGAGCTTGATACCCTCTGTCCACCACCAGATACGATCCACCCAAGCCGGGTCTTCTGCAGAAGAGGCAATCCATCTATGAGCTTGATTTGCCCTACGCAGAGAAGGCCATAGAATATGCTCGCGCCAATGAGGAGATCTACTCGCTGAGGATTAAAGAGTGCAGGATCGGTAAGCTGAATATTGGAGGGAATGTTCCAATCGGCTACATTAACTGCCAGACTTGGTTGGCTATCTGTGATTGTGGGTGCGATGAGAGCAGTGAGTGTGGTCGAATAGTCTGAAGTGCGAGACTGCATGCAAATGCTGACGGTGGATCCCTCAGCGGACACGCTAGTATCGCCCAGACCAAAAACAAGGGCTGGGCTAACTTGGATGTAACGAGATGAAGCTGGGATTCTGAATCTAGAATGGCGCGACAAGGAACCAAAACGCCAGATCGATTTTTCACCAAAACAACAGCTGTGGCCAACAGCACAACATCGGAGTGGAGACCTTGGGCAGCAAGAGAGGTAGACGCATGAGACGGCACACTGCTAGCAGAATCCTGGTTGTACTGCTCGTTCTGGAGGAGAAACAGCTGGGGAGCTTTGCGCTATGGATGAGTCGAAGTGCAATAAGGTATAATGCCTCCTTCCGCAAACTCTACACTGCCCACGTGTACATGCACGAGTACCATGACCCGATTTTAAGCAGCTAAAACAAAGCGACAGCTTCTTCACTTCCTTGTGACGCAGAAAAGGAGATAAATTTGTGAAGATGCTGCACGAGTTTATTCCGTGTCCCGCTGAATGGCAGAAAGGGCATCCGGACGGGTCGGCGGTAGAGTTAGAGGCAACAAAGGTTTTCTTAAGGTGTGTAGACTAGCTTTTTCCTACCTGAGCGCTACCAGCGTGTGTCGCTATAGCGTATTGCACGTTCTCCATCTTCTGTCATCGCTTTTCCAGGAAATCGTAGAATTCCCCAGCTGTGGGTATCCTGTCCGATGACGCAGTCTCTTCCTATTTGGTTTGGGTCTTCTCATCTAGCTTTTGCAGCAGCATGTGGATTATCATGCATCCAGATATCTCCTCAGCACTTCCTAATGTCTGCAGGCCGCGCGTATGCAAGCTGACTGCGTCCGAAAACTCCCGAAGCCTTTTAGCAGAAGGCGAATCTACCTTCTTGAGCCCAAGAATCTCCTTGATGTGTGACTGCAAAACAAGTCGTTTATTATTAAAACGTCTGCTAAGTATGTCCAGAGCCACACGATAATTGGCACTGGAGAGCTCCAACGATCGAACCGAATCCAGGGCCGCATCCGAGAGACATGAGCGAAGATGTTGGAACTTCTCGATTTCACTGAGATCTGCATCCCCTTCGATGACCGAATTGAACATGGCAATAAAATCCGCATATTCCACATAGCCACCGGAAAAGCTAGGTAGCTTCAGCACAGGAAGCCGCTGCTTGTGAGCCATGATGATGGTATGACCTACAGAGCTATTTGGCATGCTAGTGGAATGAGCAGCTACGCGCAAATGTCCCAGTTCGAGAGCCGCCAGCAGCTCGGCTTTCAAAGAAATGAAGAGCGTATTGAACGTTTCACGCAGCTCACTTCCAATCTCGTCTTCATCCAGTGATTCCAACTCACTATGGGACTTGTTGAACTCCTCACGCATTTCAGCCAACATATCGAGGCGCACATCTATATCAGCCGCACTTAGATTGTCGATTTTATTCCCCGAGAATGACTGGCCAAGACGCTGCAGCCGATCAGCTTTACGCTTGTAAAACCTCAGCATTTTTTCCTCCATCGCAATATTTCCGCCCGCACCTGTATTCGGCTCTTTGCCCATGCCAACCGGTGTAATGCAACGAAACAACGGAAAATGTAAGACCGCTTAAGCAACGGCGAAAGAACGGGAGCGAGAATAGAAGACACGGAAAGTCAAGGGCCGCGGCTGCAGCGACGCAAAGCAAGAGAGAATCGGCGATTAAGCAACGGAATATTAGACGGCTGCAGTCTCAATGAACTTGCACTTTAACTGTTCTTATTTGCACAAAATGTATTTGTTGGTCGTTAAACGGCACAGCAACGAACATCTTATTCGATTTTTATAGTTTTTAAACGTAACGCGATTAAAAATTGTAGTTAAATCACGTTGGGGTCACCAATGTTTGAGATGCCAAGCTTTTTTGGCACCTATATTTATCCAAAATCAGTTAAAGACCTTTGATTTATAACGTTATAATGTTTATTTATACCGGCGGCTAGCTGAAGCCAATTGCTCGTTCTTTTGCCCAGCCAGATAAATGTGCACAAGCGGGGGTTCAGTATGCAACCTATGCTGCGAGAGATTAGCATAGAACTACTTGGGCCACGACGGCCGATCAATGCAAGAGCCGACGCGGCAGGTGCAGAGCGCCCTTTAACAGGGAGAGCGCAGCAGCACTGCCGAACGCTGGGGACATACATAAGCTTAGGTTTCGACACTCTTATACAACTAGTTACAGCTACATTTAATATTATGATAGACGCTTAAGTAGCCGCTGGCCCGAACATCATATCGCAAGATTATGAAGGTGGTTTTTTTTTTAAGTTAATAAGTTAATATATAATATAATATATATATATATATATATATAATATAAGTTAATATATTTATAGATTTGACTAAGCGAGCCCTACATGTTTGGTACGCCCGTGCAGCATTGCTTCACACCTGCAGGGGCGTGACCTCGGCTAGTCCATCCTGTCTGTCGCGCTCAACAGCGCGCAGTTCCCCCATGATGGTTGCCGCGAAGTTGGTCGCTTTCTATTTGCCCGGTAACTGGAGCATGAGGAGGTTTCGAGTGGTGATAGTCGGACGACTTCCAGCTGATGTCTTGGTCCTGCAAATCGGCCACACGAAAAGATGACGTGCTCGGCGTCCTACTCCACTCCGTAGTCTGGTCGTACCCAAAGCGGTACAGGTAGCAGCGAAAACAGCCGTGGTTGGGCGTAGTTCGCAGTTTTGAGGTCATTGGACCAGGCTGGAGCCGCATAGAGCATTACCGATCTCGCCACACTCGTCAGCAGCAGTCTTTGCCAATGCTTTGGTCCTTGGATGTTCAGCATGATCCTTCACCACTCTCTTGGACGTCACTGTGCTGTTTGTGACTGTGACGACAGTCTCAACCTTTCGACAGGACGCCAGCACTACCTCGGAGCGCGAGCTCAAGTACAATTTGCTCCAGCCGCTTGTGCATGAGAGTAATTGACTTATTGCAGGTCGACTCCACCACCGTCAAATCCTTCGTCGGCAATTGCACTTGAGAAAATGTCCACCACTCGATTAATGGCGTCAATAGTAGATCTGGTGTTGCGAAATCCTTACTGGTACGGTGAAGGGTCGCCCGCCTCCGCAAAGACTCAGCAGATTGACCTGTATGACGAAGCTGACCCTGGTGGCTTACTCGGCTTGGGAATGAGCACCAGCTTTTGCGACTTCCTCCTCTCAGGAAATACTCCTTTCCGAAGGCGCTGGTTTAGAAGCGTCACGAAGATTTCTAGCGCAGGGAGAGGTCGAGTATGAGCGCTCTATTTGGGATAGAGTCTGGCGTTGGTGCTTTGTTTGGGGTAATGCTCCTGGCTGCGTTTTTCACTTCCTCGATCGTCACCTATTCGATAAGAATCTAATCACCCGATGTGGTCCGCCATGCCCGGAAAGAGCTCTTCCATGATCGATCTGACCAAGTCGGGTTCCGATGGGGTTCCGATGCCCTTCCCTAAGGGTCGTGTTCGGCAGAAGCACATAGCGACAGAAAGCAGTTTGCTGACCTTTATGGAATGGGCGGAAATGCCTTTTTTTTTTGGCATTAACCCCAAAATTAAGTTGTAATATTATCATTATTTTATTATTACTCCCTTTTAATAAATGTCCACTCTGCATATTTTTTTGGCCACCCCTGGCTTTTTGGTAGCCCAAAAAGGCCGGCAGAGTCGTATGCATTGTGCATAGGAAACAATTTCGGGCAGCGCAGTCGGCACACGTACAGCGTAAAGACTTCGTGTGGTTTCGTTATTCTGCGCTGCTGACGCAGCGGCATAGAAAATTCTGCCCCACTGACGTAGCGGCAGAAAAACATGCTTCGGGCTTTGCACAAACGGCTTTATGTTCTGTTCGCTTGCCTCAGCGGCAGGGAAATATTCGTGTGCCCTATGCACAATTGCTCGGCTTTCGGAGCGGCAGAGAAATAAGTAAAGTGTTTGACTTCGTGTCTGTTGTCTTCGCACATAAACGCACCAAAAAAATGTTTGAGTCTGTGTGCCGACCCCTGCTTTAAAGTCGGCTGTTTGAGCCTGTCAAAATGTTTTATGGTTTCCACCAGCTCCATTTAATTAATCTTTATTTAAAGTGGATAGTTTTCATCAAGGTATTAAGAATGTAGTTTAGAATGCTTTAGTTAGATGGTGTTTTGTTTCGTTCTGATTTTATTGCTTTTATTGGCAGATGTTTTATTTCTAGCCTAACCTTAAAATAGTAATCTTTGTTGGAGTAGAAGTAGTAAGATTGCGCGGGGTTGGTCATATTGTTTATGTTGTAGTGTGTGTTATTGTATGTATATTTGAGTTAACAACTTATGCGCATATTTCCGCAATTTCGAATTATTTTCATGTATTCAGACAAGGTCAATATTCGTCGAGGCGATTTGCTGGAAATTTGGTTGAGCAATCGGCGCAGCAGAAGCATTACGTTTGACTTGATGTGCCAACAAATAAATGAAGATTCTTTTCCAGAGACTGCTCTGAATGACATAAAAATAAAAAACTTCATTGCCCAAACCAAAGACAATATAAGTATAAGATGCGTAACGCTCATACATTTCAATTGCCATATGCAAGCAAATTCTTTGGCCAGCGACGAAATTCGCGCCATCTTGCTGGCACAAATTTGAGAGCGTACGGATCTAAAAATAGAATCCGCTTACATGTGTGAGTACACACAGAACAGCAAGTGTGTATGTGTGCGTACTTGTGCGAAGCGGACGATTTTCGAGAAAATTAACTTACACTTATAAAGTGCAGGATATATTTCGACAGCGCTGTAAAAATCGTATGCATGTGCACACATACAGTCGTCACGACAACTCGGCTCGGCTGTCTCATCGGTAAAGAACCAATTTCGTGTGCCTTCGTATGCTGTATGCATACAAGAGAGCGGCTGGCTCTAGAGCGCTCTCTCTCTCTCTTGTCTTTGCCCAAACTAACCAGATGTTGGATAAAGCAAACAGAGAGCTGGCTCGCATCAGAAATATCATTTTCCATTAAAAGAGACAAGGATAAAGGTGGAAGGCCGTTTCTAGCTTATGAAGAAGAAGGATCGCGTTTGAAACGAAAATTGGATTCGAAGCTTTCTAAAGAAAAGTCAACAACTCTCCTTATTCACGCAGCTGCCATGTCTGCTAAGAAATCTCGGGATAAAGACACCTCACATATTCTAAATGAAACCTTAAAAGCTGCTAACAAATCAAAGCTAAGGGAACAACTTTCACATATCACCTGATGAGGCCTTAGCCTTTATTATTGAAAATTCGTTTTACAAGCAACAATACAAAATCATACGAGCAATGAATATTGAAAAGTATTCCAACATATTTCCAAGCTATGAGAAGGTGAAGGAAGCTAAAAAACAGTGCAGACCTCGGAGTATGAGTATATAAGAAACTAATGCTGAAGTGCCTTTGCAGAACTTACTGGACCACACTGCATCTCGAATAATTTTACTTCAACGACCAGTTTTCGAACAATTCTCAAATATAAGTAAAATAACGCAATCAGTAAGATACGGATTTGACGGTTCTACTGGGGAGAGAATATTCAAGCCAGGGTTTAATGAAGTAGAACCACAAAAGCCTGGACAAATCTTGGTTCGTCAAGACAATAATCCCACTTCAAATGATCGATGAACATGGACGAATATTCTGGAGGAACCAAAACCCACAGTCTATTAAGTTTGTAGGCCACTATAAATCGAGTTCGCTAAGGAAAGTCGGGAATACATTTTAAATTCAAAAGCACATTTAGATTTTCAAATTGAAAACTTAAATACATTTCTTTATGAGGAAAGCCAAAAAATTTAGAAGTTGTTTTTAACTTACACATGACTCTTATTGATGCAAAGATATTAAATACTTTAACTGGGACACGTTCCACCCAATCATGCCCTATTTGTGGTGCTGGTCCAAAACATTTTAAAAAATAACGGATATTAATAGTCAAACATTTGAGCCAAACCCTAATACTCTACAGTAAGTCCTTTGCATGCATGGATTCGATTCTTGGAGTTCGTTTTAAACATATCATACCGAAATGGTCTGCACAAATGGCGAGTCAGTAGCGATTAAGACAAAGCCGCAATGTTGAATCGAAAAAAAGAAATAGAAGCCAAACTTTGGAAGGAAATAAATATTATAAGCGTGATCGAATATTTCATGCCAGGAAAAATAGCCGAGTGAAGTCCTTGCGCTTTTAGAGTTACCAGCAATCGACATAGCAGAGAGATCAGCAGAAGACGAAACCGATCATAAAGTAAAAGAACGTTTTGATTTTGAACTAGAGTTAGAAGATGCATAAAATTAAATGTTAATTTATTGACGATCTTGAAACTTTTTATTTAAATGTTTTTTTGTTGATTATTATTATTATAATTACCATCCTAAGTAATTATAACTATTTTTACATTACAAATTTTAAAAGCTTTAATTTTAATGCTTTTTTTATATGTTAGAGGCGGAGAAGGCGTGGTCGCATCGGTCAGAAAATTAATTCGAA